ACGCATGCTCCTCTGACCACATCAGAAAAAAGACCGACTTTTTTTACACCACAGGTACCTTTCCCATATATCGGCCGCGGGCAGTTTCCGAGGGGCCCGAAACGGAAAACGGGTTGCCAATGAAATTTATCAATGGCCGCCCTTTCCCACTGCGACTTTATTTGCAAGCCCTACAAGGAGGAAAACCAAACACTTGCGCACCCATAGGCGGTCGAATTGAACCGAAGTATTCTCGAATATTCAAATCTTGAATATCTTGATACAATAATTCTCCATAATAAAAATAAATCGAGTCAAGAGTTACTGATGGTTTACCATTCTCAGGGTCTCGCCCCACGGCACACGAAACGAAAACGAAACGAATGCATCTGCCCATGAAAGATGGCAAAATACACTCGGTACTATTTATAGCTAACCGATGAATCTGGCCATTTCCTCCAGGAATCCCTCAACTGCAGCATTCAGACCAAATCATGCTTCAACAACCGCTTCCTCCCGAAAAAAAAAAAGCTGGGCCAGCCCCCAAGGATGCAGGTAAGGACCACAGGGGCGGCGGACAGGTGCCTCCAAGGGGGGCCAGGAAGTCCATCCGATGGAGCAACCGGAAAAGCAACGGGCCTCGTGTACTGCAACGTCCCGTTGGGACCCCGCCCAAACTTTTGTCCGTTGGTCGGTCAGTACCGAAGGCCGACAGACCAAATGTGGAAACACTACCGGTTGCCCGGTAAAAAAAAAAATTAAAAAAAAATAATAATAAAAATCCGAAAAATACCACGGGACACAGGCTCGGCAAATGTCGGCGAGCACTAAAATTCAGGTTCGGCAAAAACAGGCTCGGAGGTACTGGTGGTTTAAACTTTAAACAAAAAACACAGGTGCTCATGGACCCTTATTGGCAAAAAACGAATGGCGGCCGTCACATTTCTTTTCCCCGATTCATGCCTGTTCCCTATTGACGCACTCACTCGGCACAACAGAGTCAAAGAGTAAGTTGACCGGATGAGAGGATATTTGGCCTTTTTGAAGGCTTTTTTTTTTTCTCAACGGCGACAAACCTTGAACGGCTCTCGCGTTTCCTCTCACAGCTAGAGCGAGATCCATGGCATGATTACAGTTAACATGTTGACGGGAAGGTGGAGACGAGTCGAGCATTTCTTTAAGTTTTTCTGATGCAAAAAGACGTAAGTTTTCCTGATGCAAAAAGACGAAAGCATTGACGTTACTCGGAACACTGGACAGGAAACAACATGAAAAATAAAACATGGTACAAACTAGAGAAGTGGGGTACCATCCCCAAGGTAGGCAGCAGGCACATAAAAATTAGTAAATTACCCAATCATTCCCGAAATAAATAAATAATAATAATAATAAATAAATAAATAATAATAATAAATAAATAAATAAACAAGTAAATAAATAAAGAAATACAGAATAAAGAAATAAGAAATAAGAAAGAAATAATAAAGAAATAATAAATAAAGAAATAATTTCTGTGCTTGGACACAGCCACGGTTCTGTGTTTGGGCACAGCCATAGTTCTGCATTCTCACTGGTCCATGGCCACTGCGTGGTAGATCCAGCCAGAACCAATGAGAATTTAGCATTGTCCTCACACATCTACCACGGGCCAATAAGAATGCGGCAAACACTTGAGCCTGGAGGGCTACCTGGACGTGCCTAACTGCACGAGGCCCAGGCCAGTGTTTGAAATTGGGGCTGGGTGCAGACACTTTGGGCCAACTCGAAGCTACTGGGCCCTTACACGCCAGGCCCAGGCAGGCCAGCGCAGGGCACACGTCCCATGTAGGAAAGTGTGCGCCCAGGGGCACGGCATGCTGGTCTGAGCAGGCAATGCGACCACGCTGCTGCTTCTCCTTGCGATACTGCACTGAGCAGGCAGGCCAGGGTCGCACATGGGTGCTAGAGGTGAGAGGGCGCTGAGCTGGCAGCGGGCACACGGCAGCCATAGCCGGGCTGCACGTGTGGTGGCAGGTGATGACGATGGTGGTCTTCGGGTAGGAGGCGCATGCAGAGGGGAGACAAGGTGTGACGAGGGGAGGAGAGAGAACGTACCTGGTGTATGCTGGCGGTCGGCATTGGTGATAACGTCACGTACATTGGTCTTCCACTTCGATGTGATCTGGTTGCATGAACGTAGATCGGCGTAGATAGGCTAAGTAGTAGTAAGTGTAGGCTGGGCGCTGGGCGCCAATCAGTAGGAGCGACATTGGATACTGTGTTGGTGAGTCCAGAGAGCGTCGACATTGACATACGAGTTCATAGTATCGCTCTTATTTGGATGGTATCTTGGTGCATTGTGCTCTCTGTTTGGTACATGACTATCTGGACTACTTCGCGATTTTGCAATCTGGATCTGTCTATTGCTCTCGCTAATATTCCTTGCACTATACATAGAAGTTCAAAAAACTGATTCATCGTATTGGTACACCCATTTATATCATGCAATCATTGTAATGTATTTTTGTCTTCATCTACTCTATCTACAGATATACCACAGATATAGGCGATTAACTGCGACTGAAAATCTGCACTATCATCTTCACCTCATCACTCAGGCAGCGATGATGTCGTGCTACATGAGAATGCATGCATGCTTTATGTATTTTACAATTTTCACTGCGATAAGTAAAGCCTACGAGGACTCCCACGCAAGGACCCAGCTATGGAGAAAAAGACACCTTGCAAGTAAGGTATTGGCTATGGAGGAAAAGACAACTCGTAAGCAAGGACCCGGAGGACCCGGCTATGGAGGAAAACACAACTCGCGAGTCGCAACCAAGGACCCGGCTATGGAGAAAAAGACAACTGCAAGCGAGGATGCAGCTATGGAGATCAACCAATATTTACTGTGACATGTAATGCCTCGCAGGTGGTGATCCCGATAATTTGTCTGAATCTCTTACTAACTTCTCTCACTATTCTTTCCATGCACCACCGAAAGGGTTCAAAAACTCGACCGCGTTGCAGTCCCATGCTCGAGGTCGAAGGATCAACCCCTCACATTGGCATATACAGATAACGACTTGTTGAGATTCCTTGCGCTTATGTGGTGATTTATGGATGGGATGCTGGACCCGGTTTCCAGCAGGTGCTGCTCCCCACCCACCAATAGACCGGAGCCACCCGTAGCAGACGTTGTCAGAGGGGGCTGCTGCTCATATCACCCCCCTTGAGCACCCGGCACGTTCTTTTTTTCGAATAGGTGCAAGGGCCACAGGAGGAGGCTGCTAGACCTGTGTGGTCTTCTACCTCCTGCCGCATCTGGGCCGAACCTCCGCTTGCCTGGACTATTCATTCTTCCCCATTCATTACAAGGATCAGCTGCCAGAAACACAGCATGAGTGTAAGCGGAACCTTGTACTGGAGACTAGAGAACACAACACATTTAAAATACACACACCCACCCACCCACACACACACACACACACACACACACACACACACACACACACACAAGTTACACAAAACATTCCTTCTTTTCTTTTTTTTGTTAAAAGGGCAATGGCCTCAAGATATTATTGTCTGACTGACCACCCTCAGGTAATTCAGAATTTTCATTCTTGTTCTGGTCGGATCCGAATACGTGTCTGTCTTTCAACACTCCATGGGTGTGTACCAACTGAGCCTTCCGGACCTGCGTCTGGCTCCGCTACGATCTTCATCTTTTTATCTTCACAAGCGGAAGTTGCGTTCAGGTTTTTCGTTTACGATCTTCGTCCTTTTCCCATCTCCTCCTCCTCCTCCTCCTCCTCCTCCTCCTCCTTCCTCTTCTTCTTCTTCTTCTTCTTCTTCTTCTTCTTCTTCTCCCTCTTCCTCCCATTTTCTACGCCGTGCATGGAATTCTAGCAAATGATGGCATGCAGAATGTTTATCCTCTTTTTTTTTTTTTTTTTTTTTTTTTTTTTTTTTTTTTTTTTTTTTTTTTTTTTTTTTTTAAGAATGTTCCATTTGACCCTTACTATATCCTTTTTTTAGTCCAGGGTGTTGTAGAGGCCAGTTACTACCTTCGGCTCACATTGATCGCCGGAAGCGGTCAGCCTAGGTTTTGCCAGTGAATGTCCTTCAGATAAGTGTCTGCATGAGCAGTACCATCACCAACACACACCAGTGGGGTACATACAACTCGGTACTTCCTAAAGTCGCGTAGCGTTAACGCTACGCAATTTTAGGAAACGTACGGGCCACTACAGGAGCGCCCAAATTCATCCAACTAGAAACGTTTCTACTCTATTTTTTTCCGCGGCCGATAGCTGGGCCAAGTACTGGTGGTTTAAGTCACTTTGGTAATGTCACAACTCGGGATGGGGTACAAATTGCGATGGAGAAGAAAACTTTGAGATGCGGACAGAGAAGCTGTGGATGGGAACAAAACTTGATGATGGGGACAAACCATATCACCACAGGGACAGGGACAAAACCTGTGGAGTGGAGTAAGAGAGATTTTGGCCCTTGGACATCACCCCATTCACCTAATTAGACACCATGATAGAACTTGTGGACCAGAGAAAGTGGGACCTTACCCCTTGTGAAAGAATTTCGTGACATCAACCCATCACCTAAACCTAATTAGACACAATGATAGAACTTGTGGAGCAGAGAAAGCGGGACCTTGGCCCTCGTGAAAGAATGTCCTGAGTCCTGAGTCCTGACATTACCATCACGTAATTAGATAGCATGGCTATGTGGGCTTCCAACCCAGGCTACCAGAGTGGACCGAGACCACTTGTCCGGCCCGGCCAAAAAAAAAAAGAAGAAAAAAAATATATATAAATATTATATTATATTTGGGTATTTTAAAATTGGTAAATAATTTCGACATAACCCTGGGGCAAAAGTTGTTCAGTTTATTTTCCTGTATAACATAGTTTCTTGTCGGATTTTTTTTTTTTTTTTTTTTTTTTTGCTGGGACCTTCCCTGGTCCTTGCACGGCCGGGCCACCCGGGAAAACAGGGGGACCTGGGCGGCCCGGCTGGTAGACTAGCGTCCAACACTTTTGTTTCTCTTTTTTTTTTCAATAATGCAAAGACTTTTCGGTGAGACCGCACTCCAATCTAATTATGCTAGTGCTAAAAAGTCATTCTGGTAATGTTCTTCTCCCCTTCACAGTGTTAGGACACACACCACCACTACCTTCTTCCCCCGAATACAACATACGGTCATTATAGCTGTATGTATTTGGGTATCTTTCAGTCTAAATACAGCAATAATGACCAGGCGTTCTATTCTGGTGAAGACCATAGTACCTTCTATCTTTCCATTTACTTTCACTCTCCGGCAAACTCAGTGAAAGATCGAAGAAGATTGACGACAACATGGAACCCAATACGCACACACACACACACAAAAAAAAAACAAAAAAAACAGAGAGGATAACCAACAAAGACCAAGGGTCGATATCGCTAAGATTTTTTTCATAATGATCCAACAAGGAACCCGATAAACACAAAAAAAAAAAAAAAAAAAAAAAAAAAAAAAAAAAACACACACTTTACAAAGGATAACCAACAAAGACCAAGGGTTGATATCACTAAGATTTTTATTCATAATGAATCATTGATGAATAATGATCCATTCGAAAAACACACTTGGTTCGGGACATTACGAGCTTCTCGAAATTATGAATCCCTCAGCTTCATTTCGATCTCCTCCAAGCTGAGGCCCTTTGTCTCTGGGACTCTAAACAGGATGAATGCTAAAGCCAGCACGCCGATTATTCCAAATGCAAGAAAAGCATTTCCTGTTCCAATTCGATCCTGCCACAAGAAAACGGAATGCACCAAAAACAACAACAAAAAAAAAAAGGTTAAAAAACAAAATTAATGACACGAGCAAAGACTACATGTTAGTTGAGTCTCACCAAACGTCCCACCGACCTTTATAGCAGGTACTGCTTCCAAGCAACAGATTTGACGTAAGTCTTTCATGCAAAAAAAAAAAAAAAAAAACACCGATGTGATGCGATTGACAGCAACACAACAAATGTAGCACTTGAGCTTCATATGAAAAGCAGCAGACACCCGCCTGCCCCCTCTCTCCCCAGAAGAAAAACGGGAAAAAAAAAAAGACGTCATTTGTCAGTCATAACTTCGTATGTTCATAACCCCTGGGCCGGCCTAGTTCCGCCGTGTCGACAAGTGAATACATATTAAATCCGGAAGCACCAAGCACTGCCGAAGACGGATGCAGTGGAGAATGCAATCACTCCCCTCCCCGTTGCGAAACCCAGAATAACAGCCAATGCCATAAACTGGCAAAAAGTGATCAGCGTGGAGTTGTGCACCATACTGTCACTTTCCATCGACCCTCTGCGCTCGTGAGATGTGCTTTGCCTCTCTCGTAGGCTTTCTGCACTTCCGCAAAAGTCCATATACATTGAAGTTTGAACCACCGGTCTCCACTTCCCTGGATTACGTCCATATGCATTGAACAAATGGTCTCCACTGCCCTTGTGGACCCTTCTTCATGATGGCATTGTGTCTTTTTTTTTTTTTTTT